ATGATATCCTTCTCCAGGGACCAGTTTCTCCTGACATATCCGACCGAAGTACATGAGACAAAGTATCAATGTTCAATTTCCAAACCCATCTGAGGCAACTGACCTGAAAATACCATGACTAGGTCCAGTACGCCTTAGCCCTCAAACAAATATCCTTGCTTTTCAAAAGAGGCCTTGTGCAACAGATTTACCCAATGCAATATATCCTTTAATCTCTTGACTGCTGCTTCCATGAACACTGGCTATGGAACTAAGCAAGACAAAATCCTTGACTAATTTGATGTTATCTACCAGTCCAGTTATGAGGATTTTTATTTTATTTACATTGAGTGGTCATCCATCCTGAAGGTTGCATTCCGTACTTCTTATCCCCACGTGCTGTAAGTCCTCCTCACTTTCAGCAAGCAAAGTGGTGTCATCTGCAAATAGCACATTGTTCCTAAGTCTTCCTCCAATCCTGGTGTAGCATTCTTCTTCGTATCATGCAACTTCTCTGGATTTAATGACTTTTACAGACCTTAGTGCCGGCAATTCAAACCCATCAGCCACTCCTTCAGAGAAAGACAGGGTTTTTACTCCCACAGAGAGTTGCAATTTTGGAAACTCAGAGGAGGCAGTTCCCTCCTCTCCTGTAGGGTTGCTATGAGTCGGCATTGACTCGATGGCAGTGAGTTAACAAATAAATAGACTTTAGTAATCAGTCCTCTGTCCATTGTGTCAATGCTGAAGGTTTTGTTCTGAGTCAGAATCTGCATTTTTACCTAATCAGAGGGAACATGGTAGGTGTGTGGGTTATCACGTTATATGACAGTATTTTAGTGCTATAACAGAAATACATCAAGTGGATGAGTTTAAGAAATGAATTGATTTCCTCTCTGTTCTGGTTGGGTGCCGTCAAGTCAGTTCCAGCCCATCGTGACCCCGTGTGAAATGGAACTAAACACTGCCGGGCGGCCCATCCTCACAATCGTTCTCACGTTTGAGTCCCTTGTTGCAAAGCGTATTAGTGCTTACAAGTGATGGCTTCATACAGGTGTGTCTCAGGACACATGCCTATAGGTATGCCTGCATTATAGAAACCCGGGCTTAATTTAAAGGCTGGTTTGAGCCTTTGATTATAGTCAGAACTGTTTTGTGAAAAGTCTTGAGTAGATGAGCAAATAATTCTCAAGTCGCTCTAGAATACAAAGCAAGTTTTTATACTTTCCAAATGAAAACAAAAAATTACCACTAACAGTGTGCTTGTCTCGGGTAGGTTGGCGAGCCATGGAGTTGGTGGGCGGCGGGGACTGCTGCAGCTCCTCCTCCTGAGAGCTGAGATGCACCCTTCCTCCCCGCCCAGGGTAGGCTGGTGTGTTGAGAGTTGCGCGCTCATCGAAGCGTGACCTGGATCTCCGCAGACCCTGGAGGGGCCTTGCTGGGTCCCAGTGCTAGCGCAAGAGCTGGAGAAGGTTTGTATCTTCCCACGGGCAATTCTCTCCATGGCTGATCCGAAACCTTTATCCGTCTGGAAGGAAGTGGTGGCCGACAGAGAGCCAGGGAAAGAACTGGTATGGAAACGGCGTTTGCCCCTTGAGAAGCTCTTTCCCAAACAGTGGCAAGTCCTTGGGGCTGTAACGCCATTCACTGCCGTGACTCCACTGGGGCCAGGCAGGGATCGGCCTCAGGAATAGACATTGGAGAAGCTGGGGAAGCCCTGGTTCCCTTCAATGGAAGGACTGAACACACATCCCTTTCCCTTGATGAAGGATGCAAAGAAAATAACACTGAGACGAAGACAGCTCGCGCATGTCGGTCCCTTCGATAACCCTGCTCTTGGGGTGGCCCTTGTGTTTGGCTATGCTTGCTGGAAGCGGGCAGCACTCAGCGATATGAGGGTCATCTCAGGGTTTACTGTACGTAATTATTTTTCTTACTTTCTGGAAAGGAAATAAAACAAACTGAACTTACTGCCAATAAGTCGATTCTGACTCAGAACCCCCGCAGGACAGAGAAGCACTGCTCCTCCTTAGGAGTTCTGAAACCGTCTTTGCCGAAGACAGCTTCATCTTTTGTCTTCAGAGGCAGGTGGGGTTGAACCTCCACCTTTGTGGTTATAAACCCAACGCTTAACCCATGGTGCCACCAGGACTCCCTTTCTGCAAGTAGCAGGGTATAAATAACGTGGGCCAAGAAAATTCAGAACGTAGCACTTGTTTGCTGCCGGTTGATTTTTTAGAGGCTCCGTTCTGTTCCTCATGTCTTTCTAGTAGTATATTTTTAGATAGAGGCTCCATATGAGATCTTTTAAATTTTTTATTGTATCTATTTCTTCAAGCTGTGGAGCCCTGGTAGTGTAGTGGTTATGCATTGGGCTGCAACTTGCATAGTTGGCAGTTCAGAACCACTATCAGCTCATAGGGAGAATGACTGGGCTTTCCACTGTTGTAAACAATTGCAATCTCAGAAGCCCAAAGGGCAGTGGTTCTCAACCTGTGGGTCGTGACCCCTTTGGGGGTCGAACGGCCCTTTCACAGGGGTCGCCTGATTCATAATAGTAGCAAAATGACAGTGATAAAGTAGCAACGAAAATCATTTCATGGCTGGGGGGTCACCACCACACGAGGAACTGTCTAAAAGGGTCTCGGCATGAGGAAGGTAGAGAACCACTGCCCTAGGGGGTTGCTGAGAGTCAGCATCGACTCGACGGTAGTGAGTTTTGAGGTTTTGATATAATTTCAAAGACCAGGAGCTCCATACAGGGGCATTTACTTGTTCCATTCATGACCCCAGTCAGTGCTGAGACGACAATGTTTGACAACGGCATGATGTTTGTTGATGGCAAGAACAGAAGAGATGAGTCAGGCCTATTCCCTGGTTGTGAAAAACAGCTCATCTTTTCTTCAGCATATGTTTGGTGATCTTACTGGAAGTTCTCCCGCTCTTTTTTGGGGGTCCCATTCAGTTCCCTTTTCTCTATTATCTTCATGACTTAAGTAACTTTCACCATGCTAGCTACCTCCTGAGGATGAGTCTGGCAGCCACTCCAGATGCACAAGAGGTGTGGCACCTTAGCTTCCTTTTCTCTGATCTTATGGCAACTGAAGAAATGTCGGGATCAGCTGATGGACGACCAGAGCCATAGGAGGAGACAGACATTAAAAAGGCAACATTAGAAAAAAAGGTACAAAAAACAATTCTATGTGACAGCAGGGTTGACAGGAACAATATTGTTAATGTAAACATAGAAATTTTAACCTCCAGATATGACTGAGACCACCTCAAACTCAATTGTGAAAAGATTAGGGCGGAATGTAATCCCTTTACTCAGGTCGCAGCCCTGATGCATTTGAAAGGACGTTTCTTGGGGTGTGTGGACTAATTCCTATATAAGTGGAGGGTGGGTAAAAATCTGGCTTGCTGTTTGGTAGGCCTGAATCCTGCTCATCCACCTCTGGTTCTTTGGACTTGCGCCAATGGCCTGCCATCTCAACTCTTATCTGATTTGCCAACCTTGGATTCATTTGCCTTTCCAATTATAAGCTGCCTGATCTATAGACATTGGATTTATCCAATTCCTGTAGTCTGCCTGCTGGCTGAAGCTATGTGAGTCAGGAGAAGCCATTAGCTTAACATTTGACCCATGAACATCCAATCTACCTAGACTCAAACTAGCCTGCTTCTATGACTAGGTGAGC